AGCCACATCATTTATAAATTGGGGATGTAAAGATCCAACATTATTTCGTGGGGGAGGATGGTCTAAAAGTGTGTGGTTCAAATTCTAGTTAGAATCGGTTTCAGTACACAACCGACATGCTGATTACACAATCCCAGGAAGCAGGTGAGTGTGTTCCGATTTCGGTAGTTAATTCCAATACTAATGAGTGTATTCTAGATAATAGAGGTTTAATCCAATACAATGTCGGATAGACACAGGATAAACTTAAGAAGAAGACGTACAATCGATAACAGACACTTAAACTCCGATTTAAAATGTGGCGGATGTGGTGTTTGAATGAGCTAATTATACCATTGTACTTGTTGAATGCTTGATTTTGAATTCCAAATACAGTACACCCGATCGTGCTTACCTAGTACTTCTCGATCCGATAACGTTATTTCTGGGATTCTCAGTACATACTATAATGCAAATACTTCTGATAATCACAGTGGACTAAAACGTTTTTAAAAAAATTAATTGTTTACTTCAGAGATCGACATTAATTACAGTTTCATTAGCATGGTTGAACGCCGTCACTAGTTACGCATTTCATTTTCATCTCACTGTTTTCCATCTAAAAAATATTATTATTAAGTACCCGAAGTTCGTATCTAAGACAATATCTTGTGTCACGATTAAATAAACTAACGTTTTCAAAGTCATGTAGTCTTTACCATGTATATGTGACTCATACATGTTGATATTTCATTATGCTTTGTAATAATTTGAAACCGCCATGGCATCACTTCAAACTAATACTACACAAAAGCTTATTCTACTGCCGCATGACTAAAAATGTCACCACGGCCTGGATAAATATTGTTCAAGTTCGACATATGGTAGAATCAAGGGAACTTCTAGCTTTCTCAAATATAATCAGATAAACAGATTTTCAGGGATGTTAAGATTCTTCTAGATAAAAAACTATATCGATAGAAGGCAGAAGAAGGTGGTTACGGACCAATAGCATCACGTTGCCACACGTGTCCATGCTATAAAGATCCTAAATTCATGGCTCACTGTGAAAAATTTCCGACCTACTTAAACTACAATTTACAAACTCCCCCAACGTTCTTCGGATGCACTGTAAAGAGTAGAAATAACTTAATGTAAACGGTGCTGTTTCCAAAATGTTTATCTAGATCTTACTGTAAACAGTTATTTTCACGACGATTCGGGTAATGTCGTTAAACTTTCCTTTAGGCGAAATCGATTCCAATAACTGTTAAAAACACTACGGTCAAAACGGCAGAAAAACGTTCGTAATCAACAGATATGTTCGAAACCCTTGAAAGATGCTCAATAACTTTTGAATCTCACAAATTACCCTGGAACGGAAGGGTTGGACCCTGTCACCGGTTGCTTTCTTCCTCTCTTTTCTATTATACAAATATTATTCTTAAGAATCCGAATTTTATATGCAAGACGATATATTGTGTCACACTTAAATAAACTAACCTTTTCAAATTCATTTAATCCTCACCATATCTATATGACTTATGCATTTTGATATTTGACTAGCCCTTGTAACTACCTGAAACTTCCATAGCATTACTTAAACTAATACTGCACAAACACTTATTCCATCGTCATATCTTGCCGCAACATTATTTTCTTATATAGTTACATTAATTCATTTATTTTTGTTATTCATTTGGCGATACATACGTAATAGTTCACTCGCGTTCCGAATTTACAAGCAAGATTATTATTATTTCTTTATTCCTCTATTTTCTCCCTTCTTTAAAGCCAACTCAATGATTTTTCCGATTACAGAGAACCTGATTTATTATTATTATTCTACAATCATTCTTTTCTTCTTTTTCTTTTTTCCAAATATGTCAAATATAATGCTTACATTATTGAAACTTGTGTTTTATTTCATTTTTGAAAAAACTTTAAGTGGTTTCTTCACAACACTTGTGTATCCATAATATGTTTGTAAATAACAAAGTGAAGATTTATCAACCCCGTAACACGACGACGACGACCGTAGTCGAAAATACATATTTATATATTGATTTGTGCATCCATTTTAATTATTAATTAATTACAAATCACATATATGGAAAATACTTAGAAGTATCCCATGCTACATGTCATGCTGTGCATGGTTTATTTCAATTGAATACAAGAATATCGTACGTCATACAGAATAAAATATCATAAGGAAAACAAAACAAATACTACATGTTGTGTACGGGGAAATAAGAAGCCCAGACAACTACGAAAGCTATTTTCTTGGGACGTTATTTCATTTCATTCAAACCTTGTAAAACACTTATATTTATTTTTGTCCCTATCTTATTCTGCATAACATGAGCTTTCGTTCTATGTATCATTCACTACCATACCCTTTTTTGTTCCAAAAATATTATTTAAACATAATATTTTGCATCTTATTTTCTACCCTAATTCTCAGTTTCGAGCATAATTGTATTTTTCCAAATTATCGTATGTTGTGGTCAGGATATTAACTTATTTATTCATGTGCATTTTTGCACTAATCCGAATTCAGAGAATCCAGAGTTCAGTGTTCCAACTGTCTTGTCTTCTTCCACTGGCGTGCTTGCCAACCAATCAGGTCCTAGAATAGTTCTCTCTCTACCCCATCTCGAACTCACGCATACTAGACTCAAGATTAAGCCACTCAGCCTATCACGTCAAGGTCATAATCTAGACTAGACAGATCAAGGTCAAGTCATAACAATGTATAGACGGGTTAAAGGCGATTCAAGGTCATAACACTGCACAAAGTAATTATCACATTCAATTAAGAAGGAAGTAAAGTTGAATAAAAGATTACAATGAGTAAATCGATCTAATTTTGACTTTTCTTCCCGTTATATCAGCTTGACCTAGTACAACCCTCACACTACTGCAACATTTTTATTTCAAGATTTTGAGTTCTTGAATGAAATTACGGACTCTATACTGCTTGCGATGAATCAAGGGACGCATACAAATAAAATCCGAACTTTAGGGTCTATCATCCCTGGTAGTGAAATGAACATTAGCTTGGCAAACTGACGTGATGCGTCCCGTTTTAACACTCCTGAAGCCTATAGCATGGCGAAACTCACATGAATTACGTTAATGAAATTAACATGACGACAAACATTGAGCAATCTTGTGCTCAACTTTGTTTATTACTTTTAAATTTTTCCTTGGGTTGTCCCCGATATTTTCGCGAGAACGGAAGTTATCGTTATTTAAACCCCCGCCAGTATAAGACTGAGAATGGATCGGGTTGTAATAACTAAATAACTTAGTAGAATTATTGATGTAGGTTACATGCACTGTATCATTATCAATTAATGCACTTCAAGCATCTTCAAAAAAAACCTTCGACATTTCTATCAACTATCTTTCCAGAATTGGTATGATAATTCCTGCCATCAGTCAATCAAATAGATAGAGAAGAAGTTGACAACAGTATTACACCTGACAACTTGTTTTAAAATGATTTTCTAATAATCCTCGAAACAGTACAAGTTAATACAGGTATGCCTTAATCAGCTTAATTGTGCGTATTATATTTGGAGTTCATAATAGCACAGAATAAATTACAAAGAAACAAACAGCTAGTACAAATGTAACACAGATCTAGGTCATCTTAGATCACCGATGTAGTTGACCAATTTTTGATGATCGTGGTCTACTCAAGCTGGACATTTATGGTAAAGCCTTTTAGCCCACGTTGAAGCCAAATCACACAAGTATTACCTAAACTGGAATATCTTATCATGGTATCCAGGTACTTTGGTTGCTGCATAGAAGGAACCCAAGCTCACTAGAGAAATCCCTTAGTAAAGACAAAATACAAAGAGAGATAACGAACTCTGCCGCTTAAGCCAGGCAGTGACGTTTAATTGGCCAGTTTCGTGCAAGCTACCCGTGAACACGACAATGTTGGACAAACTATCAAGCAAAAAATTGTTGGTACTAACAAAAAACGTACTATATGCCTTCAGAACGTAATCAGGTAAATAAAGCAACTCAAGTGAATACTGCCAGACACACCTTCATGTCAGAAAAAAATGAATATACAACAGCCACAAAAACATTAGAGAATAACAGAAACATTACTGAGTATCCAAAGCTGACGATAAAGTATTAGTGTATCCTCATTTTAAAGAAAGTGAATTCGATACTAAAGACTTTAAGAATTTAAAGCTAAGAGGACACATGTGATATGAGGTTTAAGATTATTTCACGAAAAAATTGTGTGACGCTTAGAATGTCTACAAAATAAATAGTTCTGTAAGTCCTTGACCTTGATGATGACCTGATTAGTTTTCATAGACACAATTAACTGAAGGCGCTCGGTCACGATAGAGTACGCTGTACTACATAACGTTTGCAACTGCTAGCCAGTCTGGACACAACAATGTTCGGCATACCGACAACGTTCCAACTGTAATTTCGAACCACTTCATCTCTAAATTCTGATTTGACTGGGTTGGCATACTTCTACTATAAACGTGCTACTGGTAAAATCGTTGTGAAAATTAAAATACATATGGCATGTTCAAGTACAGTGAAAGAATTTTATCACGCAACAAAAATAATACAGCGTCAACTTTGTTTTGTAATTCGCTTGCACACACGAAATATAAGGGAAACATTTCAACGTCCAAAAGGCAGTGCAACCATAGTGATGCGCCTAACTCCAGATAATCCAATTAAAATCAAGTGGTAACACTTTCAACTCTTCATAAGGACTTTAGTAAAACGCATAGCTTAGTATCTAGAATATCGGAAAAGAGATCACTTCGTGCAGGGATTTTCAAGACATTTGCAATAAAATATGAACACATTTAACATAGCCCCTAAGATGTATTGATTGGATGGCACCAATCACATCACTGAGTCTGAAGTTTTATTTCCAAACAGAAACGTCAACGGGTGCATACCTAAAAGATGCGCAACCCATAGATAGGTGGTGTTTTGATATTGTACATTGAGGATATTTCACATTTGTCGCGCGTGCCCTGAATTCGCAACAAATATGGGGCGGTGAGTTATTGAGTATTAGATTTTGTTTCTATCTTTACGTTCTTCTTGAAACGTTCGTTTAAATATATTGTTTAAATGTTATTTTGAGTACCATTAACTTCAGTCTAGTAGGATATGCAGGACAAATATTCACGAACTGGCCGACAGCATCACACTTACGTGATATATGTGTTAACCGTTATCAAACTCCAGTTTTGTTATTCATTTGTGGCTCTAGGCATAGTCAGCCTAAACATACCAACCTCGTGGTAGTAGTCATCTCTTAACCCACTGGGTAAAATAGTAAACATTATGTCGGCTCTGGATTGATAGACGGGTCTATGGTCTATGTAATTTCGCTGTGTTGTTTTTACCCAGAAGCTTGTTGGCTGAAAAATTACATCAAATCGCCATTGCGGTCGGCTCCCTGAAGTGGTTTCCGTCTGGAAAATAGTTTTCGTTCAGTTCGGACATTTGCTTTCGGGGCAAGAGAAAACTATAAATATCCACTTGTTTATCAACTCCAAATTTCTCCTACCTTGATATAATTGTGATTTGCGTCAGTGTGTTAAATAAAGGTGTCTTAACGCTATCCTCGTCAGGTGGGAAATGACCTAGTGGCTCATGTACTCAATCTTAAACCAGCGGGTTGGCTTTCCGAGCTCCACTTTCTTTGCTTTGGTTTACTCTTACTATTACAATGGGTAGATTTCTGTTCTGATTCACTATGTTCGTTTTGAAAGGTATTTTACATGGTTTTATCGTTGGTTATGTGTTGATTGTTTCGTTGTAGTTTAGTAGTGCTTGTAATGACAATAATAGAACGTGATGTCATCTGGTTATCAGAAATAAGTTAGTTTCTGTGTACAGAAATATGAGACAGACAATCCAAAAAGACATTTCAACCATCAGTAAAAAACTCGTAAGAGAGCAGATATAAGGTGCGGTGTCAACTTTCTACGTAGTACATTTGCCTGTTGAATACGTGGAATGTTATTTTTTTTATATTTTTATTTGAACACATATATTGGTACAGGAGTGCGCCAAATATATATGCACCACACAAAACAATAAGAATTTAAGAAGAAGAAAAAGAAAAAATTGGGGAACGTAAAGAAATATTTAAAAAACAACGAAGAGATAGGTGTAAGGTGGTGTAATAATAATAGTAATAGTAGGGGAACAGAAGGGTACAATCAGAAGAAATCTTTCAGTTAAGGGAGATAAAACCACGTTTTATGAAGAAAGTAAAAGAAGGTTACAGCATGATCGCCACTGGCTTCTATTCTGAGCCATATCTGATAACGTCTCTAGCCACTGTGTTGTACCATCTCTCGGAACCAAACCAGGGAGTCGTGAAGCACCGACACAAGCCAGCCCTTTGCAGCTTTCTTTCATACTACGACATCATGTCATATACTGACCACGTCCGCTTTCTCCAACCTGTCCCAGAGTCGCCACATAATGCTCGACGTGGAATTCTCTGGGACGACATTCGTAGAACATGTCTAAGCCACCGAAGTCGGTGTTTCAAGATGGTGACACCAATTGCATTATCGTCTCTGTGCCCGAACACACGATGCCGAACCTCTGCATTACTAACATGGTGTTGCCACTGGATGTCAGCAATCCTTCGGAGACAACGATGATCAAACACATAGAGTCGTCTAACATCCTCAACTCAGAGAGGCCAGGTTTCACAAGCATAGAGCAAACTGTTCTCACCGACGCGTTGTAGATCCGACCGTTTACAGACAGACTGACATCATGAAGGCACCGAAGTCGGCGAAGATTGGCATAAGCCGCTCTGGCTTTCACTATACGTGCATTGATCTCATCACTCACACTCCCCACCAGCACTTATGCGGCTATTTAGATACACAAACTTCTCGACTACTTCTATCTGCTCATCATCCAGGGAAAGTACAGGATTACGATCCTGCCAGTCTTGTAGAAGTACTTTGCAATTCGAAGGTGCAAAGCACATACCCATACTTACGGACACTGATTGCCAACCGATTAAGTGTGGATTGCATGCCTTGAGCATTATCGCACAGTAAGTCGATATCGTCCTCATACTCAGGGTCGAGAAGTCTTCCTCCAGGCAACGGATCCACACCGCCATTACTTACATCCATCAGAGCTGTTTCCAGAATGTCATCGATGGCAAAGTTGAAGAGCAATGGTGAGATTGGGCAACCCTGCCTAACCCCACTGCTCGAATAGAACAATGGAGAAAGGTGGTTGTATGCCCTCACTCTGCCTGAGGTGTTTGTATATAGGGCTTTAAGGATGTTAATAAACTTCTCAGGCACACCCTTCTTCAATAGACAATCCCAGAGAACAGTCCTGTCCAACGAATCGGAGGCAGCCCTGATGTCAATAAACACTACGATTGTTGGCCTTTGATAAGTATGGCGGTGTTCTAACATTTGGCGGAGGGTGAAGATATGATCAATACATCCTCTACCAGAACGAACCCCAGCCTGCTCCTCGCGAGTCAATCTTTCTCGGGTTTTGAACAACCTACGAAGTATGACGGAAGCTAATAGCTTTGACGCAATCGAAAGTAGACTTATCCCCCGATAGTTGTTACAGGAACGACGTGAACCCTTTTTTTAGAAATAGGGACAACTATCAACTCATTCCATGACGTTGGTACTCTCTCTAGTTACCACACCTTTTAAACAACGTCAGTCTCTTAGTCAGAAAGTCACCACCATCTTTAAAAAGAGCCAGAGGTAAGTCATCTGGGCTCGGTAATTTGTAGCGCTTCAAGGGTTGGAGTTCCTTGGGAACTTCTGCCTCATTTGGTGGATCAGTCGTCACCGGCCATGGAGGGCAGAACAGTCTGACCGATGCTGCCGGAGCAGCAGGCCAGTTGAACTGCCCCTCGAAAAATTCTGCCCATCGTCCTAGACGTCGATGGATGTTAGTGATTGGCATCCCGTCATCCTCACAGATTGTTTCACTCACACCAGACTTCTTGCTGCCAGTAGCTCGGTTGAGTTGGAAGAGCTTCCGGTAATTACCAGATGCAGCCGCTGCTTCCAGCTCATTAGCACGCTCCGATTACCAGGCTTCTCGGTCCTTAAGCAAGCTTTGCCCGATTTCACTACGTAACAACCCTCGTTTGTGGTCAAACTCACGGTCACCCGGAGTAGACCGACGGGCTTCAATGAGTTGTAAGGAACCAGAAGAAACCCAGTGCTTAAAATCGGGACGTTTCGCAAACCCACAACTGACTGTACCCGCCATTTTCATGGCGTCATGCAATTGCAGCCAATGCTCATCCATACGTTTCAGTGGATTGTTAGTTAGCCTAGAAGCTAGCTTGGTTCGAAACTTCGTTGCAACCAACTTGCCGACATCAATCCTTTGGTGGCGGTCACTTCGTTGGCCATTGAAAAGTAAGGTAAGATTGGCGCAGACCAAGACATAATCAGAGTCCAGATAGGTACTCCAAAAGGAGCGGCAGTCTTGTACACAACCACGCCAGCGGTAGCTGATCGCGATGTGATCAATCGGAGTCCAGGCTTGAGATGCAGAGGGAGGACGCCAGGTGGCACATCGGCGATGACTGTGCCGAAAGTTAGTGCTAGACAGAAACAGGTTGTGGTCTGTGCACAGTTGCAATAGACAGTCCCCGTTATCTGTCCTGCGACTAACAAGTCCCCATCGGCCACCTAAATGACTCTCTTCTGCGCCTAGACGCCCGACCTGAGCATTCAAGTCTCCGGCTAGTACTACAATATCTGTCGAACGCACTTTCTGGAGAAGAACAGATAACTGGTGGTAGAATTCATCCTTGATTGCATCCGGGCTGCAATCTGTCGGGGCATAGGCGGAGATGACGAAAAGACATCGTTTCTCACGCCGATTTCTTCTCACTTTGATGGAACTCTCTAATCTAACAGCATATAACCGACTGTTAATGGGGATTCAATCGATTAGTGCTGCCTCAGCTCTAACGCCTAGTTCGACACCAACACCAGCAACACCAGACGAAGATGCCACAGGGTCCCCGGATAAACGCACGGGAAACAAGCTTTTTGAAGCGACAGATAGAGATCGAATTTGTAGTACTTCACCAGAGTCTTGAATACGGGTCTCGGATAGACAACAAACGTCGATATTAAGACTTTGCAATGTCATAGCCAACCCTATCTGTTGTCCTTCCTGCATAAGTGTGCAAAGGTTGAAGGCGGCCAGTTTGAATGGTTCACTCGGTTTCAGAAAAAATGCTTCAGTACTCATCTTTGGTGGTAACAAACAATTTTCAACCGGACAGTGACTCGAGAACCTTTTGATACAGTCGAATTTCCACCATAGACGAGCTTCTGTCTAAGTCGAAAAAAATAAGTATAGACGGAGTAGGAATAAAAGAGGGTGAATAATGACGTAGTAAATAATAATAATAGCAGTAATAATAATTGAACCATTTGGCTGTTCGTCGAAGCAAGAGAATTAGTTTCCATGATCACAGACAGTTCAGTTCATTAATTGCGTGTGGACTGCGATACTTCCCGGGTGCCCAGACCGAAGCAGGTGGTTATCTTAGGGGATCACACCCCGAGCCTTTGACCCAAAGCTCTAACCCACAAGGCAGTCGAGCATCGTAAGGAGATGCAGTCCCATGGTAGCCGGCGACCGAAAATTGGTTCATACGCCATTTGTTCCCGCAGGATACTGGTGCCCATGTGCATCATTGATTTGGAATCCGGTTAAAGCGCCGGACATTCGCTTTCCGTCCTCTCATTTTCGTAAACAACACCCCCGCCACAAAGGGGTGTTGTTTACTTGGAATTTATCCCTGTCATCACTCTGGTAATCTTATTGAAAGGCAGTAACATTGCGTCTTACCGTGATTTTTAGGCTCTGTAGTTGTGTTTCTTAATTTCTGGATTTCCGCACTGTTGTTTAGTATCCATAGTCGAGCTTGAGTAGTTCATGTATACTGGTACTCAATTCTAGTTTTAGGACTCAAGTCGCTCTAAGATATATATCGATAACTCCACATTTTCAATGCGCTTGTTAGTATTCGAGCAAGATATTTGCTCACTGAGTGTCATAGTAAAAGCCTATCAAAAAACTTTGGTGACCAACTCTTTTCTTCGACCTCTTCATAATCTTTTTCTGTGATGCACATTGTTTTGGCGCCAACTTGTTCCAATGTATTGTTTAAATAATTAAATAGATCAAGACACTCCACCGATTCCTTTATATCATTATGTTCTGACCATTGCATCAATATATGATTCTCAGTTTATGCAACAATGGGATTGTCAGATGTAGTGGTATAACAGAGTCGATGGGGCGTCCTAAAGTCACTGTCAATTCAAATTCAGTCATAGCATCGTAGTCAGAATGTCCTGGAAATTCTCTGATTTCAAGCTCATAACCTCCAACTTTGGTTACACAATATCCAGCTATGTCCACGACTGATACACTAAATCACACCGTACAACCCACACATCAATCTCACGAGAATCATTGGCTTTGGACACGTCGGGTTCTAGCATCTATATAAATTAGATCGCACAATATGTACTTCGTTCAAAGAGCGGAAAGTGAAATTTATTACTTTATATTTCATGTCAATATCCCGATTGCAACTAAACAAGAGAAACACAAACATAATTTGTAATAGGATTGAAGAATATATGAAGCAAATTGAAAGTGTCAGTGTTACGACCGAAGGATTGTATATCATTTCGTAATGGTACGACGCCTAAAAATTAGGCCCAAGAGTTCGCTTTTAGTTGCTTGAAGAATTAGTGACGTATGAACTACTTTCCTCCAATGACTGCCAAGAGTTTTATCTCACCAAATATGCGAAACGTCCTTCATAACAGTACTCTGATGGGTAGTGATTTTCCCTGTAATCTAAACCGCTTCATGTACCGGTGAATGAGGATTTGAGTTAACTTAGCTAATAAACATAAGTCCTTTGATCCAGTGTGATGTGTCATTTGTTTCGTAAAAGTTATCAACTTCCAACTAGTTAGTGTAAGCTTTATCTTCAAATATATCCAGCTCGTTGCTTAGTATAGAACACTAACGTTTGTTAGAAAAAGTACATATGACTATACATGATTATTGTGCTCATTTGTGTTTGAATTAATAATGTATTTCATTCATGAGGTTGAGGTCCACGTATTTGCTTTTGAGCCACAATGTATGCTAGGGTTAGTGAGGTCGAAACCGAAACACTTGTAGTGGGGTTTACACTTGGTACCCACTGGTTGAAAGCTAAGTGCTTTAATAACGAGGCTATCTAACCCAAGTAGAGCGATGCTCAGAAACCCAAATGCAACGTATCTATATTTAGTTCAATTAAAACCCAAGAAACAAACGTTAGCGTCTCAAAGCCCTCTAAAATTTCGTTACTGGGAATACGGTACAGTTAGAGTAAATTAATACCGTTCAGCTGTTGTGCTTCCCGTTAATGAATTCTATCAATTCAAAATTATAAACAGAATCATAAATCGCCTAAGCAAACATCTGGGACAAGTTATTCAATATAATTAGGAGAATTTTTTAAAATTAGATTGCAAACTGAGTACAAATAATTCTCATCTCACTGTCGGTAAAAGCTTAAGGCAAACAACCATAAATGAAGTCAAAATGAAGAGGAACTCTTGATGATAAAGACAGTCAATAATTAAAGTGTAAGCCGGGATTATGATGAAACAGAGGAATTTTGTTGTATTCCTACAGAAAAGTATGTTACTTAACAAATAAAAATTAAAAGTAACATGGACATATTTTTGTTGCTTTGTTGAATGCATAGTGTTTCTGAGAAGCTTCCCATTGCTTAAATAAACATGTTCTATTTTTTTGGCATAAACTGCTTTACTTTCTATGCGCTTATCTATCATGTGTTAAGTTTAATTATGTCTGATAATTACTGCTTTTTAGACGTCGAGATGACGATCATTCGCGTAACAGAAAACGTCGGTCGCGATCTCGTTCCCGCTCTCGTTCTCCTGTTCTTCCTAGGAGGGCATTTTCATCTACTTTAGAAGGATCTCTACCTTTAGCTGCTTCGTTGCCAACATCTTCATTAATGGGTTCGTTACTAGCTGCTCAGGCAAAAGCAGCTGAGGAAGCGGCTGCCAAAGCCAAGGCAGAAACGTCTAAACCTGCAGTTGGTACTATGACTGCTATTGCGAATGCAGCAGCTGATATGATCAAAGCTGCTCGTAATTCTGGTCAAGGTATCGCAGGTATGGAGGGTGCTCTTGTCATTACTCCGAATATGGACAAAGATATTGAACAGCGTCGCCTTGATCTTGAAATGCAAAAGGTAGGATTCAACTAACTAATTCTGTTTTTTTTTCTTACTTACCACGATATCCCTTAATTTACGACTTTATATTGTAGAGACGAGAACGAGTAGAAAGGTGGCGACGAGAGAGAAGGCTCAAACAAGATATTCTTGCAGCACAACAGAGACTTGCAGAGAGCACTAGAGGAACTACTATTAATAAGTGGAATCTAGAGGATGATGATGACGAAGAAGATGCAAATAAAAAGAATGTTCAGACGGAAAAATCCACAGAAGATGATGACGTAGATCCATTGGATGCTTATATGCAGGTGTGTCCTCGTAATTAACCTATGTTCTGTTTTTTTTAAATGTTTGTTGTCGTTTGCTTTTGAGTGATTTATCACGTGACTACAAACAATTGAGGCTTTTTATAGATAGGAATTCTATGTATCTTGAATTTTTCGGATACATGAATTTCTCAGTGTGTATTAAAATCTAATATACAAGATTCTAAGTCATGTAACTGTTACTTGACAATTGAAAACTAAACGTTCGTAACATTTTCGTATAATAGTTTTCTTCATTTTCATACAAGATATCTAGTGATCGTTTCTTTTACAGTTTGAACAGTTACAGTTTGTTGCCATAACACTGATTGTTCTATATTCATTAATCCAATAAGGAATCAGTTCGACATCTTATTGTTCATATATTTGTGTGGCGCATATATATTGGCGCTCTCTTGTACCAATATTTATGTGTTCAAATAAATAATAAATCATATATTTTAGGTATATAAACATGGCTCACTGTTCACAATCTACAGCTTCTGTCTTGTTTTCTTTGACCGTCTGGGTTCAAAATTTGTGCTTGTAGCAGTTATGGTGAATTATATATTAAATACACGAAACATTTGTTAATTATAATATTTTACTTTATCCTAATAACGTAATATCTGTAAACGTACATTTGTGTACATAATTCTTCCTTGCGAATTTAATAGAGATAGTACTTGTTGAAAATGGATATCATTTAGATAATGTTAGATCATGTTTTTCAGATAATACTGTCTTACATTTTATACATATATAGTCATTAGTATAGAATGTTTGCTGTAAAATAAAGTAGTAACACTATCACATATAAATCTCTGGTTTCTAATATTCCGGCGTACTTATGGACCTCCACCCAAGGTGTCATTTTTCAGTCCACTCAGACGAGGAAGGACAAGCAAAGATGTGAGCTCCATCGGAAGTTATGCATTTCAGGAGTTCATACTTCCATCATGGATCGTTGATAGAGAACTATCGAACCATAAGTCATAATTGTTCGTTCCCTGAAGTTAGTTACTTAGTATTTATACTTATTAATATTGTTTTATGTTCGTGTGCTAAGCTACCATTTTGCAACTCCAGCAGTGGAGGCTGCTGTTATCTTCTCCCCTGCCCGCTAACTAGAATAAGTTCAGTAATTTTATAGAGGCTCTGTCGATAAATACCAGTAGGGTCCAAAATATATTTTAGATAATCGGTCGTGTATCAACTATGATGACCATAGTTTAGGAACTAAGTAATTTTCAGTAAACACAAATCATAGTGAAAAATTCATTGAAAGGTCTATGGACAGAATAAATTAATGTAATGAAAATTCATCTCAAATCAATATTGATTTTCTTTCGCCCAAGTTGTATATGGGAATTCACCACCTCCAACAGAGCCACTATGTTTAGTGATGTAATGCTGCTTGATGTATCTCCCATATTGTGCTAATCTGTCTTTTATGAAGGACTAAAGTGTAATCCTTATAGTTACAGGCCGCATAGTAGAACTTCTGGGAAGTAAGTTTTATTACATTTCCTTACAGGGTAACAACGGATGCCTCAATCTACCAATCCCTGTGGTTCAATGACCCGGTTCATTTTGGACGAGACAACTTTATATTAATTTCAATGGTTTGTGGAGTATTGCCGTTTATAAAATTGTCCTACCTTCAAAGTTCGTCCAAGAATCATTTTGTATGTATGATATAACCAGCTCATTATATGTTTGGACTTTCACTGAGTATAATCAATATCAAAGGACAAGTGTTATCCGGAGTCGATTCCTATATCAATTCTCATGAAACTCAACTTATAAGGTAGTTTCTGGTGTCTTTGATAAATAATTATTTTCAGTTTCTGCACCCACTCCTGTAGGTTTTCTATGAAGGCAGATAGTGTTTTCCACTTATTAGGATTAATCCACTGTTTTTTCTGCATTTCAGGAGTTGAATAACCAAGTTTCCGCTGGTCCTGAAACTACTAAAAAAGATACTAAAATTACTAAACAATCTGAAATTTCACTAAAAACTTCTAAAGATACCGATCACGCTTCTTCAGATCCTTCAGTCAAACCTAAACAACAGTTAGTAATTAAACGGAAAAGAATTATTGGGCGAGGTGAACTGATGGAAAGTAACATAGATGAATTAGAATATTCATCTGAAGAAGAAGACACAACAATTGAGGATGCATTGGCTCAGCTACAGAAAAAAGACAAACTTCAGCCTATTGATCATTCCAAAATTGAGTATTTCCCCTTTCGCAAAAGTTTTTATGTAGAAGTTCCAGAACTAGCAAAAATGTCAAAGGAGGATGTTAAAGCATATAGAGCTAGTTTAGAAAATATCCGCGTCCGTGGTAGAGAGTGCCCTAAACCCCTACGCAATTGGGTCCAAGCAGGCATTAGCTCTCGCCTTTTGGCTTGCCTAAAAAGGTATGTTTTTTTCAATCGTCAGCATTTTGTTTATTCGGTAAGCTACACAAAACTATCACGATTCCATTCCCGTTTTGGTTACTGGTTTTCCTACTAGTTGATTATTTTCACATTAAATATGCAAAAACTTTATAATACTATGAATCAACTGCTTACTATGTGATTTAAGCTTAATAGTTGCATTCTGTGGTCATAGTTCTAACTTTAAGTGTAATATGAATATGGTATGAGCCAGTAGGAGATACGCACTTTTGAGTCTATTGGCTTTTACCCAATTTTCCCTTGTTATAAATTTAGCTGAAGTAAGAATAAGAATCACAGCAGAATAGTAAGAATCCACTTATTTCGCGAATTGTCTTCACCTGCTCAATACCTAGAAACCATATCTATTTTTTAAAACTAATGCACATACTTCATATCAGTTATCAGAAAGTCTTCAAAGAAGATTAATGAACAAACAACAAATATCAGAAAATTATAAGAAGCGTTCATGGTGTTGAATATTTACGCGTTAACTAATGTGAAGATTTTATAAAAGGATAATTAATGTCCAAAGGTACGTAATAACAACGAAAAAAATTGCAAGATTAACAAAGTAAAATCAGAAAAGGTTTGAAAAGATACATGAATATAGGAATTCATAATTGAAAAAAAGACATTACAATTATTGTTCATTTTCTAATGTAATTCATACGATTGATCAGATATTTGTATCGATAAGCTGTTTAGCTAGGTTTATTTTCACTCAAATAACGTTCATTTAATCCTTTTTCTCAGGAATAATTTCGATAAACCCACTCCAATTCAGTGCCAGGCGTTACCCGTTATAATGTCTGGTCGCGATATGATTGGTATTGCCAAAACAGGAAGTGGAAAAACCCTAGCTTTTCTAGTACCGCTTATGCGTCACCTGGAACATCAAGCTCCTCTAAATCCTGGAGATGGCCCAATCGCCCTTCTATTGGCACCTACTCGGGAACTAGCATTACAAATATTTAAAGAAACAAAAAAGCTATGTCAAGCCGCCGATGCTCGCGCAGTTTGTGTCTATGGTGGGACTGGTATTAGTGAACAAATTGCTGAACTTAAACGCGGAGCTGAAATTATTGTGTGTACACCTGGTCGGATGATCGATATGCTTGCTGCAAATGGAGGTAATGGTTTAATCTAGAAATACTCAACTATTTATTTCCACTGTTCATTATCAAAGAAGTTCACCACATCATCAGACTTGACAGTTCTCCTAGGCAACATGTTTATCACAAGATTTGATGATCATAAGTTCCGTCCTATTTGAGTTGCAGGTTCGTACAATATGATTGTGTATTAAATTGCAGCTTGCTCACCCTTCTCGAATTAGCACTCATTGCTTATCCAGGTCTCTGGAGCCTCAAAAGTTTAAATGACTGTTAATTCTGTTTTTCATGTTTTATTATATAAAATCTAACATTTCGTCATTGTCTGTTAAAATAACTTTTATAGGATCATTTCCAATTAATTATTGCTAAATATGAAATGTTTAGTTTTAATCTTTTATTCCACTTAGACCGAAAATTATTACGTGAGGTCGTTATTAGAAATAGTACACCTTCAATATTTCGAGGGTGGTATGTATATTTGGTTAATATTATCATATACATCTTTTTTTCCAAACTATTTAGTTCATTGTTCTTTTAACTGCATAATTCGTGGTCTGACATTTTCGTTTATCTTTCCAAAATCTAGGGAGAGTAACCAATTTACTTCGATGCTCTTATGTGGTTCTTGATGAAGCAGATCGTATGTTCGATCTAGGATTTGAGCCTCAAGTGATGCGGATCATCGAGAATTGTCGTCCTGATCGCCAAACTTTAATGTTTTCAGCTACATTTCCTAGACAAATGGAAATCCTTGCCCGTAAAGTGCTAACGCTTCCCATAGAAATCCAAATCGGTGGACGATCGGTGGTTTGTTCAGATGTGGAGCAGCATGCGGTGAGTGAAATCATACAATTTTGGCCTATCGTTGTAGAATAAAACCCAGTTGTAATATCGGGTTTGTAGCGCAATATTATTACCTTTCCACTGAGTTTGCTGAAGTAAAATAAGATTGCAGTTGCAAAGTTGAAAGGTATATATATATATATATATATATTAGTTTTTCTCGTTTCTTAGACTGGGTTGCGTGAGAATGTTACAGCTTTGTACCTAGATTAGAAATGAAGTAAGTGGTTTCTGAAAATTATCAAGCATTGCAACATTTGTCACTTAATTATATCTGTCGGAGATAAACTTCGAAAATATTCCAAGTAGTTTATTCTTAATAGAATACAAAACGCTAAACAACAAGAAACTGAAATAACGCCAAAACATTACTGATCATAAAAATCTCGTAGCAGAACTTATAGTTTACACCTCTCTTGAAAATTGTTGGGTGCATAAAATTTCGTGTTGTCTCTTACTGTCAGATAGGTTGATCAATATATTAGTAGATGTAATTAATTAACCATAATATCTAAGTTCTAGTTAATGTCAATTCAGTTTATGACTGCAATTGTATTGTAAATAGATTTTAAACAAGACAATGGTCGGACAGCAATGCAAGGTGGCTGAAGTTAGAAATGAAAACGATTGTATACCAATTTAACGACTCTGAGGTTAAGCGCTCTCCACGACGACTTAATTCTCGGTGTTCGGTCCGTGCTGGATTTGCGAATGCTCACTGATGAGTAGTCCCATACTCAGACGGATCACCTATCCAGTGCTTTCTGTTTTTTCAGTGATTGTATGACCAAAGTCAGTCCGTAACTTGACAATTCAAATTCAGTTTTTTATGGTAGAGTTAAAGCACGGCTATTCAGTAAGTCTAGAGTTTCATAATTTATTGTTTACATCAAACTTCTGTAAATATTATGTAGTAGTTGTCGTAGAATGAGACATGTCTCTTGCAGCCTCGTTATTTTAATGTATCATATTTGTAGGTGATAAATGAGATTATTTCTTCACTACCAGCTTTACTATGGTATTCAGTGATACTATTTGTTTAGCTGTCAAATAATTAAAAAGTGTTTGTACGTTCTATTTATAACTTTCTAGCTTTCTTTTAGTGTAGATTGTCAATTGTTTTCACTTGATTATTCACTCATGTAAGTCAGCTAAAAATATAAATATGTGATTGTAGTTAATTACTTCGTAATTTTTTAACTAATCAATTCATATAATGTAGTTCACTTATTCTTCCTTTTGATTTCAGTTCATCTTGTCAGAAGAAGAGAAAGTTTACAAAGTTCTTGAACTTCTAGGAATTTACCAAGAAGAGGGTAGTGTCCTTGTATTCGTAGAAAAACAAGAGAGTGCAGATGAGTTAATGCGTGTTCTTTTGAAGTATGGTTATCCATGTCTTTCTCTTCATGGTGGCATTGATCAATATGATCGCGATTCTGTTATAATGGATTTTAAGCGTGGCAATATTCGTCTTTTAATAGCCACATCAGTCGCTGCTCGTGGTCTTGATGTTACAGATTTGCTTTTAGTTATCAATTATGACTGTCCAAATCACTATGAGGATTATGTTCATCGTTGTGGGTAAGTTTTATATGAATTTGTAATCGTATGTGCTGTATTTTAACGGCAGTTCGTGTTTATTATATATATATATATATATATATATATATATATATATATATATATATATATATATATATATATATATATATATATATAATTATAGTGAATTTTCTTGACTACTGGATTCATTTTGGCAGAATTATTCTTTTGAATAATTAAATGATAATATTAGTCCATCTAATGGCCTTTATAAATGCTATGATTTTGTTATCTTGTTCTTACTGCATCAATATCCGATATTTTCAAACTAAAGGAGTGTATAACTTTTCTCTGGCATATCATTTACTTTTGGGAGTTCAGACTACTTTTGTTCAGAAATTGTTTAATCACACGACATATATTTTAAATAACTTACCAGATGCAGATATATGTACTAAATTCGGAGCACAGGACTGGCTTTCAGTAAGATAATTACAACAAAGAACATAACTAGATTTATATATCTTATTTTTGTAGTTATATAATACATGTGTTATAACGGTTGGCTTTTCACGTTTACACGTATGGGACGTTAATTTACCTTAGACGAATATCTCCACTAGATTCCATCCCAGTGTTTATTCTACAGGACTTCAATACAAATCAGATCAAGAACACGTGATTAGCCTGACCACAACGTAAATATATTTCCACACCAAAACCCGACACAATCCAACAACAATAAACAATCAATAATAAGTGAGTAATAATAATAAGGATAGGGGAATATATAACTCATCTGACACCTGTCAGACTATCTACATGTCTGACTAAGCGGACAACCAATCATTATAATTCTCGTCGACACATCAACATGGTCTTTCTTTTCATGGTTACTTAAAGATTTAATCTTTGTAATTAATCGTTGTTCTTATATTTTAGGCGTACTGGACGTGCTGGCCGCAAAGGGTTTGCCTATACTTTTCTCACTCCCGATCAGGAGCGCAGTGCTGGTGATGTTGTTCGAGCATTCAAGCAGAGTGGCCAAAAACCACCACTGGAACTAATGAATATGTGGAATGCTTACAAGATACGAATGGAACATGTGTGTTTATGTTTATTTGTTTGTCATCGTATGCATCAACTGTTTGTTGGTAGTCTTTCTTAATATTTCCAGTTTAATGGAACTAAAGTAAACAACTAGATTTTAAAGAGAGCAAGAACAAAGATTGGTGCAGAATAATATGAATTCATTTTATTTCGTTAGGTTCTCATCAGCTGCTTACAACCTAAATTATTTGAAATTCAACATTATTACAGATATTGACATTGATTAAGGATAAATACATGTGTATCATGATGTAGCAAAGATTCAGATAGAGTTAACGAGGTCATAAAATGTTTGATTCGAATAAATAAATAAAGTTTGAGAAGGAAAGTTCCAGAACATCGAAATAGTGATTAGAACTCATGAAAATAGATTAATGGTAATAAAGAAAATATGAATTGAAATCAATCATTTATGTATGATGTAATTTAGAAGAGTTGGAGTAATGACGCAACAAATAAACAAATAGAAATAAATGAATAAAACGGGTTATTGTTATCAGGGTAAAGAAAGATTTATTACTGTCTCTTTATGTATGCATAGATCTGGTTTTAGACGTTTGATTGTTATTGCTTCGGAAAATTTCAAAAGGTTGGAGTTTGATTGTTTGTTCTGTTTCACAGAACAGAAAGAATATGTACTTCCGATACACTAGACGAGGAAGTTATGAATGCTAAAAAAATGTTTGAAGAATAATGGATTCCCACTGGAATTTATTGAGAAATATGGCAAATGTGGAGATATATCAACTTCATGTGCTGTATCAAGGAGATGTCTTGCGATGGCACTGTTGAATGCGTTCAATCCATTAAACTTTTCAGAATATGTTCTTTGAATCGGACGTAGGCTCTCCTTTCTGCTCTACCAATGTAACTGCTTTGGCAGATACATGTAAATTTGTATATGCAGTTGGTGGTAACATGAAAAGGATACCTGTTGACCTTTGATTATGTCAAACAACATGTTGTTTTGGATAGGACAATCAATTTTGCTGCAGGATAAGTTCTTGTCAGTGCAGTTTTTAGTCTCTAATGTAATTTCTTTAGGTTTTTTTATCTCCACGTTTGCCATATTTCTCAATAAATTTCAGTGGGAATCCATTATTCTTCAAACATTTTTTAGCATTCATAACTTCCTCGTCTAGTGTATCGGAAGTACATATTCTTTCTGTTCTGTGAAACAGAACAAACAATCAAACTCCAACCTTTTGAAATTTTCCGAAGCAATAACAATCAAACGTCTAAAACCAGATCTATGCATACATAAAGAGACAGTAATAAATCTTTCTTTACCCTGATAACAATAACCCGTTTTATTCATTTATTTCTATTTGTTTATTTGTTGCGTCATTACTCCAACTCTTCTAAATTACATCATACATAAATGATTGATTTCAATTCATATTTTCTTTATTACCATTAATCTATTTTCATGAGTTCTAATCACTATTTCGATGTTCTGGAACTTTCCTTCTCAAACTTTATTTATTTATTCGAATCAAACATTTTATGACCTCGTTAACTCTATCTGAATCTTTGCTACATCATGATACACATGTATTTATCCTTAATCAATGTCAATATCTGTAATAATGTTGAATTTCAAATAATTTAGGTTGTAAGCAGCTGATGAGAACCTAACGAAATAAAATGAATTCATATTATTCTGCACCAATCTTTGTTCTTGCTCTCTTTAAGATAATAAAGGGAACTATATGTATGAAACTAGATTTTACTGTTTATGATTTCATTTTACGTATATCATTAACTGTGTATTGATCTCATTACACTCAAATAAATCTGTTATCAGGAAGGAAAAAAGGTATACGGTTCTTCAGGTTTCCGTGGTAAAGGATTCATGTTTGATGAAGTGGAAGCTCAGCTGAATAGTGAAAAACGGCGCCTGCAGAAAGCTGCTCTTGGTTTACAAGATTCAGATGACGAAGATGGTGATGGAAATGTCGATTGGGACTCAAAGATTGAAGATATGTTGGCCACGAAAACAAAAATTAAAGATGTATCAAAGAATAATGCATCAGAAAGTGTATCTGAAACTGTTGAAGTTAGGCAAGTTAACTTTCTAATAATATATGTTTGATTACAAATCAGAATTTTTATAATTTCAATGATGAAGAAAAAGATAATATGTGCTGATTAGAGAGGAAAAATGTATTCGTAAAATCAGCGAATGCATTTTGAAGTAAATCCAACGTTTCGCCTGGCAATTTGGTCCAAGCTTTTTCATGGAAATATAATCAAACATCGAAATTCATTCGCTGAGATTTTACGGATACATTTTTCCTCTTTAATGTCTCACATTAACTCGACGCCCAAATACTGTGAAACTATTCGATCAAATTTAGACGAAAGTTCTTATTTATATGTACTGATTGGTTTGATCTCCATGGAAGCTCCTAAACTCACAAAAATTAACATATCACAAACATTTAACCTTTCTAGCTTTTTTTAAATTCAAAATTCTCCTTCAAACTGAAGAACGCTAGTTTTTCACGAATTGGTTCCAACTATTTCCCCAACCAAACTGAGTTTCTGTATCAATATTAACTTTAAGTCTGGTGAGAAGTACCTCATTGAATTTCACTTGTTTTCATATTATTTATGTAATTCCCTCTATTTCTAAGGAAGTCTTCGCATTAATGGGTCGTAATAATCGATCGTATTACTTTCACACTAAGTCGTGTTTTTTTTGTTTTTTGATTCACTTGATAATTATTTTCTATATAATTGTAAATAACAATAAGTTTTTTCAAAAAATTATCTGATTCATTGTAAATACGATCTTCCATTTGATTATTAACACTTTTGAAACTACCTTGTGTAACTTAACTCATAAACTTCTGTATTTTCAATTTCAGTGCCCAAGCTGGACAAGCAGTTGTGAACGCAGCCTTAGCACTTGCTCGACAGAAGGCTGCACAGTTAGGACTCGTTAAAAACTTGACTTCTGGTACTCCGAATGTTCCACAACCAAGCGCTGTTTTGAATACCACCACAGTCAGCGACCCTAATGCTGCTGTTGCGGCTGCGGTTGCTGCTGTCACGATACCTGTGCCTCCAGCTCCCACAAGCCGTACGTTGGCTGAACAAGCTGCCGAACGTTTAAATGCTAAACTTGGTTACACTAAACAAACACCAGGCGCTGGTGATGAAGAGGGTGCTGGTGCCAACACGAATTCGGGAAGTGACATGGTTAGAAGGTAAAATAATATTTTGCTTTCAACAAAATTATTTCCTATTTTAAAACATTTTATCTGCTTTGTATTATTGGTATCTAGTTTTCTATGTTCCTCGACACCGAGCAATCAAGCTTATGAGATACGCACCATTTTAAACTAACTTCTCGCAATCACTTCAGTTGAATTATTCTAGACTTATCTTAGTGATCATTATCAATAATCTGATTGTCCAGTCCTGCGAAGAAACAAATGAATTTAAAGGTCGTCTTTCGAAAATGATACTATAACATAAATGATCTGTTTGATTCAATGTCTATCTAATGTAATCTCTAGTCACACTGTTTATGGTCATGAAATTGACAAATGATCAAATTAATGTTTTTGACCTTCGTGAAATGTCATTTTAAATGCTTGACCATTCCCCTTAAATTGACATGACGTAAACGATAATATCCTCGTACATAGTGTTAAGTTCAAAAAGATTAGTAGGTAATGGAAATTTATTCAACTCAGTGATTGCTTTTCACCAGCTCCCATTTCTTTTGACTATGATGTCTGTACCAGATTTTATTCAAATCAACTAAGTAAATCTTATAAATAAACATATTTGTAACATCCCAATGAGTAGAAAAATTAAATCTTCTGACGTTTGGTAAGTCACTTCTTAAGAGAGTAAATAACCAAAACATTGGGATATTACAAATATATTAATTTATTTATAACAATCTACCCAATGCTCAATTTATTCGAAATTATCAAATCAAACATTGGTGATGATAACTCTAAGTAAAGCTTGTACAGTTTTTTGTATGGATACTATTAAAATACATCCGGTTTATCTTGGTTTTAATAGAATGCTGTTATGCGATTAAATATGTCCGTAATATTGTTACGATATGCGTGGTGTTTAAGTTGTATAACAAAGTTTCTGATTATTAGTTGTTTGTACTGAGTAACACATTCTGATTCTAATCTCGGTGGTGCAAATACTCATAAAGATAGTAAGACCATAAAATATAGCAAGTAACTACAAACATTTTCTTGAAAATAACCTGATTTGATACTTGTAAAATAAGTCCAGAAGCTTCAATACCATTCCAGATAAGCTCTGACAATGTTATCAGTAATAACGATAAAAAATTTAAAATTGAGCCACCTAACTCAGCAAAATTTATTTTTATAAAATTTACCTACGCTACAAATTTACTCCATTTTACATGACAAAATTATCATCTAAGATCTAAATACTTCATTAACAACGAAGAAATCTGCACATAAGTTTCACCAAAATATCACTTTTCAAGATCTTCAGCTATACTACTTTAATGTCACCAGTTTTTCGCAACTAGTGTAATCGAATCCATTATAAAACACTTGAATGTCACGTTCGAATTTTTTCGAAGAACATAATACTCGTGTTTATGCTCGATGGTACATTTTAAATTTCAGATACGAGGAAGAACTAGTTATCAATGACTTCCCACAAAACGTCAGGTGGCGTATCACTGGTCGCGAAATGCTCAATCACCTCAGTGACTATTGTGATGTTGGCGTGTCTGTACGAGGAGTGTATATGCCACCTGCCAAAGCTAAGCAACATATACCCGAAGGTACAGATGACAGACCACTGTATTTATGTATTGAGGCTGTCAATGAAAGACAAGTCGCTTTGGCTAAAAAAGAAATTATGCGTATTATCAAAGAAGAATTAGTCAAATTGGTATGTATTAATTCCCAGTTTATATTTCTCTATCGGCACATTAGATTGCTGACTGTATTGTACTTATTAAGGTATTCATCTATTATTGACATCAAGGAACAATTGAGTAACCACCAAGTTCGCAAAGCTGGAAAATTCATTTAGATCTTGGAACCTTTAGTTGTATTCATAAATTTCTCTACTAAATAACTAAAATATAACATCTCCCACTTGTTTCTTACAGTTATCCAAATTCTACGTGCTCGTGTTTGTACAATCTCTGTCACAAGCGTAGCTTTCAGAGTTGATTATAGTAGGATAAAGCAAATATTTTAAATCAAATTATTGTCTCCCGACTTCTCTTTGTTTATAGTGCTTGAAGAATTTTTTGATCTTATTCTGTTGTTCGAAGGAAGAAGAGCTTTACTGCACTATTTTTTTCTCTTTCAAAACGCTTTTCTTAATATAGCCATTAAAAAGTACGAATCTATCTATCTAAATCGGAAGAATTATCGTTCTCAATAAACTAGTTCTAAAATAAGGCCTTCAGTACACTGTTAAACTAAGTTGAAACCTGTCCACTTTCTTGATTAAATAGTTGTGAAATCATTCTAACAGCTCACTCCTATTTTTATATATCAGAATCAACAATATTTACTTTATTAATCAAAAAATTGTCAGGTTTAAGGCGAAATACATGGTTTAAAATTATAGTGTGTGAATGTAGGATTGTAAGATGAAATATGATTGTTAATGTTGAATATACAGTGTACAGTGTTAAATTGAATAAGCTTGTACGTTAAATAAAGTTGTGAAATTAATGATCAGAATAAATATGGGTCCTATAGGATAAGAGAAATAATAATGCCACCACAAATTTGATCAAATATCGTGTATAAAGTTGTATGAATCTAGTAAATAATAATAAAGTAGGGTGAATGCTAAGTAAATTAGTCAGTGTTCAGGAGATTATTAGTGATGTCAAACAAATAATAATAAGTACAAGGATATGTAAATAAAAATTACGGAAGATTGTGTGTACATTAGTCAAATTATATGATTCTATAATTAAGATTACCATTGATTTGTTGTCCATGAGGTTGACCAAGGTAAAAATATGGGTTGGATATATTTGTTTTGTACGCAGTAATGTTGCTTCTGTTGTTTAAAGGACTTCAGATCGGACTGGCTTTGGTAAAAGGTTAACAACCCGATAAATTCAATCAGTCAGCTACAACATAGGACCAGGCATATATATGCGTCAGTCCAAGTTGCCACACCTCATTAGCACAACAAGATGAACACTGGATTCATAGAAGTAGTCAATTCAATGGTGGTAAATTACTGATAAAGACTGGCTTGTACTGGCTATATGACCAGTCTCCACTGAATAGACTAGTATTTATCTGTTCACTGTCTGAAGTACAGCTCTGCTTCGCCACACTGGGAGGAGTTCACTAGCACGAAGATGTAAATTCATAAAACTTCAACCAATGTAACTTGCTCCACAAGAGCAGTTGAATCGTTACATACAAATGAGGTGGCCACTCCACGTAATTCATCTTTTAACTTCAGTGTCACCATTGGGCGGTGCTTAATGTTCTTTGGATTGTTCTACGTAATCTCTGGGTTAGTATTTCACTGGTCGCATCACCTCTGAATGGTAGGGACATGAACACGAATTTCTTATTCCCCGTTTGTATTTCGCTTATTCTAACCTATGTGGTCATATATTTGTTGGTAAAGTTTCCAGGTTATCCGTTTTCCACAAGGGTATTACAAAAGACGTTTGGTTTTTCTTTAACTATAGCAGTAGAGCATATGGGTTTAAAAAAATTCTTTGTTCATATATGAATGTCTTAATGTGACAGGGATTCCTAAAGAGCCTAAATTATTATTAATCGTATAGATATCTCCCTCCCCTTCAATATATATAAAACTTTTCTTGGTATTTTCGTTGCCTTGAGTTACTGCAATGCAAATTTTTTCGCAAATCTAACTTACCAGACTTGAAAAGAATAGTTACACAAATCGTTAAAACAATTTCGTTATCCATCAATCAGGGTTGTATATGTGGAGTTTTTCCACTTCTGTTTCATCAACCTCATAATCACGTATAATCATGTTACGTTTTTATATTATGTTTTAGCAATCTGGCAATTCAATAAATCGCGGACGCTACAAGGTTGTTTAATTTATCATCTTAGTATTTCCATTTGAATTGTTGTACATATTCTGACAGTAATGATATCTACATTAGCAATTGCGATTTATTCTTATAAATAAATGCTGTCTTGTCATATACATCTTTGTAGTTTTATTGATATTTAAGTTGGAATTCAGACAATAATGTATTGTTTTATTTATTACATCTAAGGATTGTTAATTACCTCAACTCACATTTCAGTTTCACTAACAATGCGTGATTGGTTGTTAGTCAAACTTCTGTTAAATATTCTATTCTATGTTTAAGTAATATGGTTTGTCAGAAATTAGTGTTTTCGTCCGATGATCATTTAACCAATTCTATTACTAAAAGGTTTATATAAATATCTCATCTTATATGGATCCCTGTAACAATTGTAGATATACACATACAGTTGTTTTGACGCTGCCCTTGAATTAGTCACTTTCTGGTTTTCAATGGTGATCAAGCTTAAATTGACTCGTGAATTCAACTGTTAAAATTACTACAATCTCCACAAATCCCCATAATGATGTTGATCATCTGCTCACTATTGACTAGCTTCAAGATGGGATATCCAGAAGATCTAGTGAGAAGCCGTGACCAGTGGAATTAAAACTTTCTCGGGTGAAAAAGTTATCCACCTCAGATAATAGATGCAGGGTTGTTCAAGATCATGGATCAATTGAAGTCAAACACTAACACTCATATACCGGCTCAATGGTCTTAAGGTTAAGTGTTCATGCACGAGGCCGAAGGTCCTGAGTCCGAGTTCGGCGTGCAGGATCATGGGTGCACACTGCTGAGGAGGAGTATCATACTAGGATGAGACGGACGTCCGGTGCTTTTAGGTTTTCAATGGTGGTCTAGTTTATGTCGACTCTTTAATACAGCTCTAAAAGTACTTTCACAATTGTGAAAAAATATCCTTTAGGTTGCTTATAAGTAGGTCACTACATCAGCTCACTTCTCGTGAAACGAATATCAGGAGTCTTGTTTACGTTTAATTAATGCGTGACACACCTATAGGATTTATACTTGTCTAGGTAGTGGAGACAAACCTTGGTGTGATAATGAAGAACAGCACTGCCCAATTTATATAACCAATGATAGTTTTTCTTGACTTTGTGGCGAACTGGCATCACTTTGTGACATTAAGTTGTCCGGCATAGCTGTCCACTATCTCCATTTCTGTTTAGTTTCATCATAGCCCTACTATTGGAAATAACGTTCTCGTCGTCTGCATTTTCGGGAGTCCATCTGTTACCAGCAGGTCCACTTATCGATTTAGAATACGCAGATGATAAAGTCCTGTTTGATGAAGATGCTGATAAAATACAGTCTTTTGGTAGCACTGAGCAACAATGCAAGGATGTTTGAGATGCGTTTCTCTCCCTCTAAATGCAAATTGTTGCTTCAGGACTGGCCTGCGTCAACGCCTGAACTAAAGATAGGGAGTGAAGCAGTCTAACGTGTCGATAACTTCACTTATCTTGGAAGTCTGATCAGCCCTAATGGGTTGGTGTCTGACGAAATCTCAGCATGGATTCAGAAAGCTCGTTTGGCTTTTGCCAACTTACGTCACCTATGGCGAAGGCGAGATATCTATCTGTCAATTAAAGGACGAGTATACTACGTAGTAGTTCGTTGTTTTACTTTACGGCTGGGAAAGGTGGTCATTAAGGTTAGACGATACCCGCAAGTTAACAGTATTCGATCACAGATGTCTTAGAAATATTGCCCACATCTGCTGGGATCACCAGGTAAGTAATAGTGAAGTTAGAGCAGGGTATTAGGGGTTGTTTATCTTATTGTGTTATTAAGATGTGGTAACTTGAACCAATGCATATATTTGTATGTTCCTACGTTGTAGCTGGCTGACTGATTGAGAACCAGTATGAGTAGTAGAAAAAAGTATGAACAGACTAGTGTACGTAGGGTCAATGATAAGTCACTGAATGTTAGACCAGTCAACAATCAAAGTGGATCGTAGACACGTTAAACTGCAGATCGCTGAACGTTAGACAGTTATCGAAACACCATTTAGATCGACCCTGACTGGTCACTTGCACACTGTAGTCTGGCGCATACACTAGCGATTGTACTACGTACTTCCGCAGCCTTTCCTTATAATAAAATTCTTTGGTGAGACCATGCTCGTTCCACGCAGCCATCAAGTAGGTAAAAAGCCTTGATATCATGACAGATGGTACAGGTTAATCCTCAACTGTGAAGTGTGACTCCGAAATAATTCACATCACAAGATTTTTGTCCAACTGGAGTAGATTCGTCACTCCCATGTGTGATATACGTGTATGAATCGGATAAATATGAATTCAGATAACATTTAGCACAAAGTGACATACTATTATGTATGAATCCATTTATCTAATTGGAGAATAACTTATATTTCAGGAACAAAATGGACTGTGAATATCGCTCCGGATAATGGACACGTCTGCCCGGTTTAGTTGCTTCACGGAGGGTTGTGGCTAACGCTCGAGTTTGTGGTGTCTATGCCTTGTATTTCTTTTGAGCAGAGGAGGTGCAGGGAAATCTTGGATTTCGAATCGCGGCCGCTAGTATCGAATAGTATAGGAACAACTGTTGGGTGGTTGCGCTAAACTGTCTTCGTATAGAGTGGATAAATGCTATTGTCCTAGCTGTATCCCCTACGTAGTTTGAGCTAGCGTTTAAGTACACCGTAGTCACTGGCGCGAGACTACGCTCTGGTGAGACTACCGAGAGGATTTCCATAGATGGTGTAAGTTATTTGTATCAAATGAGTCAGAATCTTAATGACAGCATTTCTCCGGGTTAGGTTTTAACGCATTGCCTCCTGTCAATTCCTCTATTGTCGTGGTCCTTTTGAAGGTGAACCTTCACATCCAATTGTCTGTATTGATCAGTCCCACTGAGCTAAGCTTTTGTAGCAGTTAGCTAGGGAACGTACGTTAGTAGACCTAAGTCTATTCCTCATGAAACTCCCGATGTTGCTTTTTATCACTATTATTATTAGCTTTATTCAACATTATACTTTTGGTACAATAAAAAATTCTTAGTACAAAGTATTTCAACAGGTTCCCGTTTCTTATTTATTGGTTGATCGTTACGATAAATATTGAGTGACCGCCAATCAGATGTCAACAGTTCAGGAATCGACAACCGAATAATGTACATTCTTTTCGATGTATATTACGAGCAACCACAACGACTCTGTGTCCTTTTCTAACTTGTACAGCGAAAAGTCGTGAACTTTTCACAAGCACAGCTGGTTACGTTTTGCAATTAATTGATATAGTGCTCTGCTAAAACAAACTAAAAATAGATAACTTGTTGAAATATCTAGATGGCAATAACTGGTAGCCCAGATATTCAGGCAGGCTTTCCATACATTCGGACCTTCCAACTTCCGTGGCCTTTTCTTACCTTGCTGCGAAACAATCTGTTATCTATGTAGCTTTGGAGCTAGGATGTTTGTCATTGGAACATATCGTTTGTAGTGTCAGTTATTATGGCAAGCCCATCTACCTTATTCTAACTTGTGGACATCCTATTTAATTCATTTTACTTGAGTCATATGTTGACCTTGTCAATCATTCGCTTGTCAGTCTTGATTGTTTTTATATGAGCGTATAAGTGTGTGCCCTTCTTATCGCATTAATCACATGTCTGTAGCTTTATTCTGTCTGCCTATAAATATGGAGTAACTCTTGACTAAAATGGAGATGGCTTCCCAGCCATCTTCCCTGCGCGTCACGGGCCACTAAACTTTACAACCTTCTCTATGAGAAGTATATTGTACTGTGGCAAAGGATATTTAAAATCGTGGTATATTAATTTGACCGGAATCTTATGTTCACAGGAAGTTGTCCAACTTTCCCATGCTATAAGGAAATTGAATACACAAGACCTGTTTTTCCTGAGCCCATTCTGGGTTTCATAGAGTATGTTGTTTTGATCAATTTATCCTCTCGTTTGTTCATTGACCAGTCTCTTCATTACATGCGACAGTATTGGCAGTAATGTGGTTGATCGGTAACAGGCTGGGTCTTTTCTATCTTTTTTGACTCTTGAAGTGACCTGCTCCTACCCACTTGACACTTAGTGTGGATCTGGTGATTTCCTGAATGGGTCACTCTGGTATGCTAATGGCTTCTGCGCACTGTTTTAGGATAACATGCCGGATGTCATTACTTCCTAGTGACTGTCCTTGTCGCAGGGGTTTCTCTTTATGTGATACTAACCCGTAAGTTTTTGGATTATTCGGCAACCTATGTTTTAAAAATGCTCTCTTCTGGCAGTGTTTTAAAATTACTTTTCAATTATAAGGTGAGAAGCACATACCATACTTACGGACATTATTTGCTAACTGTTTAAGTGCGGATTGCATGGCTTTTTTATTACTGCACAGTAAGACAATATCATCCGCATACTCAAGGTTGGGAAGTGTTTCTCCTGGTAACAGATCCACATCGCCATTACTTACATTCATCAGAGCTGTTTCCAGAATGTCATCGATGGAAAGTTGAAGAGGAATGGTGAGATTGGGTAACCCTGCCTAACCAAACTGCTTGAGTGGAACAATGTTATATCCACTTATTCTGCTTTAGGTAATTGTATTTAGAGCCTTCCATATGCTAATAAACTTCTCAGTCACATTCTTCTTCAATAGACAACCACAAAGAACAGTCCTGTCCAACGAATCGAAGGCAGCCCTAATGTCAATAAACACTACGATTGTTGGCCTTTGATAAGTATGGCGGTGTTCTAACATTTGGCGGAGGGTGAAGATATGATCAATACATCCTCTACCAGAACGAACCCCAGCCTGCTCCTCGCGAGTCAATCTTTCTCGGGTTTTGAACAACCTACGAAGTATGACGGAAGCTAATAGCTTTGACGCAATCGAAAGTAGACTTATCCCCCGATAGTTGTTACAGGAACGACGTGAACCCTTTTTTTAGAAATAGGGACAACTATCAACTCATTCCATGACGTTGGTACTCTCTCTAGTTACCACACCTTTTAAACAACGTCAGTCTCTTAGTCAGAAAGTCACCACCATCTTTAAAAAGAGCCGGAGGTAAGTCATCTGGGCTCGGTAATTTGTAGCG